GCGGCGATGTTGCTTTCTTTGCTGTTTGACTTGGGCTGGTAGTCTTTTTGGGTAATGTGCGTAAAACATCGTGAAGCACATGACAGACTTAGGTCCGACAAGTATGAATGAGGTTGCTTGTTTACTTTGTTTTGAGGCCATGGTGGTCTTTTGCTGCCAGTTTGCGGCTCCGACAAGTGTAAGAAAGGTGGTTTTGACAGTTTTTTTGTCGTTTTTGTTGCTTATAAAAACTTGCTCCAGTTGGTGGTCAAATTTGGGGCACGTTTGTGCCAATCTTCGGCGATCTTGGTGCATTCTTGGGGCATATCCTTTACCATATTGGCGCATTTCACCCCTCTTGAGACTTCTCGTGGGGGTATGTTGGAGGTGATTGGGGCCGTGGGGTCTATGTTGAAGGCTTCGCTGCTGTTGTTTTACTTTTTTTGCGGCGATGTTGGTCCACTTGGCTGCTTTTTCTCTGCCGTTTGACTTGGGCAGGTCGTTTTTTGGGGTAATGTGCGTAAAGCACCGTAAAAACCATGACAGACTCAGGTCCGACAAGCGTAAGGTTACTTGTTTTTTCTGCCGTTTGACTTGGGCAGGTGGCCTTTTGCGTAGTAGTGTGCGCAAAACACCATACAAACTATGAAAAAAGAGGTCCGACAAGTGTAAGAAAGGTGGTTTTGACAGTTTTGTTTGTCGTTTTTGTTGCTTACGAAAGCTTGCTCCAATGGGCGGTCAAATTTGGGCATGTTTGTGCCAATCTTCGGCGGTCTTGGTGAATGTTGGGGCTCTGGGGCTCTCTTGAGGCTTCTCGTGGGGGTATGTTGGAGGTGATTGCTATGCTGAAGGCTTTGCTACTGTGATTTTACTTTTTTTGCGGTAAAAGCCATTACAGACTTAGGTCCGACAAGTATAAGGTTATTTTTGTTGAGGCATGGTTGTTTTTTGCTGCCAGTCCGCGGCTATCTTGGGGCATCTCCTTTATCTCATTGGCAATTTTCACCCATTGTTCACAAAACATGTTGTGGGCTCTGTTGAGGATGTGGGGCTCCTGCCGCTTTCCGTGTTTTTCCGAACTGGTTTGCAGACCGTGGGTGCTTATTTTTTAAACATTTTCGAAGGTGTATGAAACACTGTAATTTACAGCAAAAAGTGGCTTTGGATGAGTTTGTGTTGAGCTTATTTGCCTTCAACAAGTTGCATTTTACTTGCACGGGAGGCAATTTTTGAGGTTTATCTTGTTTTCCGGCATTCGAAGGCTTTGAAGTGCAATGTGCATAAAACACTATAAAAAAACAGTGAAAAACGAGTACCCACAAGTGTAAGGAAGGTGTTTTGAGAGCTTCTTTTTATCCTTTGTTGCGTATGAAAGCTAGCTCCTGACGAGCACACCCATGATGTCAATACTGCAGTCTTCCCCAGGGGACATAACCAGCATCGCAAAGGTTTGGACAAGTGCAAGAAATGCGTTTTTGAGAGCTTTATTGCTTATGAAAGCTTGCTCCAGTTGGCGGTCACATTTAGGGCATGTTTGCGCCAATCTTCGGCGATCTTGGTGCATTCCTGGGACCTATCCTTCTCCATCTTGGCGCGTTTCGCCCAACGTTGGGGCTCTCTTCAGCCTTCTCGTGGAGGTATGTTGGAAGTGATTGGGGCCGTGGGGTCTAGATCAGGGCTATGTCGAAGGCTTTGCTGCTGTTATGTTATTGTTTCGCCCAATGTTGGGGCTCTCTTGAGGCTTCTCGTGGAGGTATGTTGGAAGTGAGTGGGGCTGTGGGGTCTAGATCAGGGCTATGTTGAAGGCTTTGCTGCTGTGATGCTACTTGTTTTGCGGCCATGTTGGTCCACTTGGCTGCTTTTTCTCTGCGGTTTGACTCGGGCAGGTGGTCTTTTGCGTAGTGCGTGTGAAACACAAAAAAACATGAAAATGAGGTCCGACAAGTGTAAGAAAGGTGGTTCTGACAGTATTCTTTGTCGTTTTTGTTGCTTTGTCTTATGAAAGCTAGCTCCAGTGGGCGCTCAAATTTGGGGCACGTTTGTGCAAATCTTCGGCGATTTTGGTGCATTCTTGGTACATATCCTTTTCCATGTTGGCCTCTTGAGGCTTCTCGTGGAGGTATGTTGGAAGTGAGTAGGGCTGTGGGGTCTAGATCAGGGCTATGTTGAAGGCTTTGCTGCTGTTATGCTACTTGTTTTGCGGCCATGTTGGTCCACTTGGCTGCTTTTTCTCTGCGGTTTGACTCGGGCAGGTGGTCTTTTGCGTAGTGCGTGTAAAACACAAAAAACAAGAAAAATGAGGTCCGACAAGTGTAAGAAAGTTGGTTTTTACAGTTTCCTTTGTTCTTTTTGTTGCTTATGCAAGCTTGCTCCAGTGGGTGGTCAAATTCGGGGCACGTTTGCGCCAATCTTCGGCGATTTTGGTGCATGACATATCCTTTTCCATATTGGAGCACTCCACCCAATGTTATGGGGCTCTTTTGAGGCTTCTCGTGGAGGTATGTTGGAAGTGATTGGGCTGTGGGGTCTAGATCAGGGCTATGTCGAAGGCTTTGCTGCTGTTATGTTATTGTTTCGCCCAATCTAGATCAGGGCTATGTTGAAGGCTTTTCTGCTGTTATATATGCTACTTGTTTTGCGGCCATGTTGGTCCACTTGGCTGCTTTTTCTCTGCGTTTTGACTTGGGCAGGTGGTCTTTTGCGTAGTGTGTGTAAAGCACTATAGAAAATTATGTACCGTGCAAAATGAGGTCCGACAAGTGTAAGAAAATTGGTTTTGACAATTTTTGGTCGTTTTTGTTGCTTATGCAAGCTTGCTCCAGTGGGTGGTCAAATTTGAGGCATGTTTGTGCCAATCTTCGGCGATCTTGGTGCATTCTTGGGACATACCCTTTTCCAGATTGGCACATTTCACCCAATGTTGGGGCTCTCTTGAGGCTCCTCGTGGAGGTATGTTGCAAGTGATTGGGGCCGTGGGGTCTAGATCAGGGCTATGTTGAAGGCTTTGCTGCTGTTATGTTACTTGTTTTGCGGCCATGTTGGTCCACTTGGCTGCTTTTTCTCTGCCCCGTTTGACTTGGCAGGTGGTCTTTTGCGTACTGTGCGTAAAACACCATAAATCCATGAAAAATGAGGTCCGACAAGTGTAAGAAAGGTGGCTTTGACAGTTTTTTGGTCGTTTTCGTTGCTTACGAAAGCTTGCTCCAATGGGCAGTCAAATTTGGGGCATGTTTGCGCCAATCTTCGGCGATCTTGGTGCATTCTTAGGGCATATCCTTCTCCATGTTGGCACGTTTCGCCCAATGTTGGGGCTCTCTTGAGGCTTCTCGTGGAGGTATGTTGCAAGTGATTGGGGCTGTGGGGTCTATGTTGAAGGCTTTGCTGCTGTTATTTTACTTTTTTGCGGCGATGTTCGTCCACTTGGCTGCTTTTTCTCTGCCGCTTGACTTGGGCAGGTAGTCTTTTGCGTCATGTGCGTATAACATCGTAAAAACCCGACAGACTTAGGTCCGACAAGTGTAAGTTTACTTGTTTTCGCTGCCGTTCGACTTGGGCAGGTGGTCTTCTGCGTAGAGTACAACACCGTTAAAGCCATGAAAAAAAGAGGTCCGACTACCCAGTAAAATGTTGCTGCTCCGCTTTCCGTGTTTTTCCGAACTGGTTTGCAGTGCCCTTTCCCCAAGTGCACTAAGAGTCCCCCCTAGTTATAATAGTTAATAGTTATATAACTTGAGTTATAGCACTTACTGAAGTTAGAAATGAGTTATAAGTAAGTTATGTGAAAGAGAGTGTAAGTAAGTTATAAGAAAGTTGAAGAAGTTATTAAGTTGCTTAACTTGTTTGCGTTGCAAGAAGACAGGGCAGACAGCCGCCGAGCAAAAACATAGAAAGCATTGAAAACACACGGGTTTTCATATTCTCGACAGACAACCGCCACAAGTCCGCAGCCAGTCGCACTTTTTTTGTCTTCGTGACACCACCACGCCCTCAAGTCTGGTAGGACAGTTTCTGAGCCCTCAAATTTCTGCCATAGATAAATTACACCAGCATAGATCCCAAACAGCTTCAAAACGATGGTCGTTTTGACATCGCTACTTGTTCGTCCTCTCCAGTAAGCCGGGCCACAGAGACCAGCCACAGAGTTCAGGGGCGCGGCCAAGACAAGGACAAGAGGAGGACAAGACCCGGACACAGAGCCAGGCCACAAAGGACAAGGCCCAGCCCAGCCACAAAGGACAAGAGGAGGACAAGGCCTGGACACAGAGCCCAGCCACAGAGGACAAGACGAGGACAAGGCCTGGACACAGAGCCCAGCCACAGAGTTCAGGGGCGCGGCCAGTGAGTGTCGCCAGCTCATTTTTTTCTAAGATAGAACCCCAACAGTAAACTGTTTGGGGAAAAAGAACACTTGATGCCAAGGAGATCCAAGGATACACAGGGATACATTTGGATACATGCGTATCCCGGTGTATCCCTGTGTATCTCTCTGTATCCCTGTGTATTCCCTTTTGCATCCCTAAATTTATCCGTGTGTCTATACAAAAGCGGTTTCTTTCCACACAATCTTGCATTGAAGAGAAGTACTGGGCAGAACAACCGCCAAAACAACCAACGAATCCTGCACAACATGAGCACTTATCAACCTTGTTTGTGAATATATAAACATGTTTGCACAGATTTCAATAATCAAAAAAAAGCATAAAAAAACTAACTTCCGTAACTTGTTTCTAAGTTCTGCAAGCTTCAACTTAGCATGTGTCATAACTATGTTATAAACTTCATTTGTTTTTGAACTTATATATATATACTTATATCTTTGTTATAACTTCCAAGGAACTTATCGAACTTAGCATAGGTTATAACATATGTTATCCCTAGTTATAACCTTTGTTGAGGAAGTTTTTAACTTCATCAACTTGGGGGGACTCTGAGTGTGTGTATGAGTCCATGAGAGGAAGGCCAAACCTTCTATTTATGCAATCGCACCATATCACACGTATATACAAACTTCTCCCACCTGCCTCTCCATAAGCTCTCCAAATGCAATATGCTTTAAAAGCAGGCTTGTCCAGATTGGCGACCATGTGGTAGGTGACCTAAGCAACTGAAAACTGCTAGAATGAAGAATCTTGAAGCTGTGAGAAGAAGATCAACAAGTCGCTCCGATCGTGAACTCTTTTGCGTCAAAGCGAGTCGGATTGTTCTATCAAGCATCAGAGCTTTCTTCCAGCGCTTTTCGCCCGTCTTCCAAGCGCATTTCTTACACTGTCTTGGCGCGCTGGCAGGGTGCTTGCGTGCCCTGGCCAAAGACTCGAGGTCGAAGTTGACAACAGCCTCGTCAGCGTCAGCCAGTGGTCAAGAGCTCTGAGATTCCCTTCCACTCACCTCAGTGGAGCTCTTGTTGGACAATCTCACCGCCAACACCCCTGCCAAGATAGGATCAAAAGGGCGCTCACTTGTGCATCAACAGTGTGTCGCAAGGGTTTTTTTGTTACTAACTTCGTTTTTCGGACCTTCAGACCGTTCATCGCAAAGCCCGCAAGTGCTTGCAAGTGTCTTCCGGAAAATATGTCGTCGTTAGCGCTACGTGATTCAATTTAAAGACTCAGCTTGGAAAGTTTCGTTGACATCATGAACACGCACTCTTGGCCCCACGTAAATATTGAACGCCTCTTTCGACTTTGATAAATAGTGCTGAAGCTCTGCTGTTGCTGTTCTTTTCACTTTCTTTCCTCCAAGGGACGCGCAAGACCTGCTGCCGTTTTCCTGACGACGATCCATGCTTTCCGACGCTCGCTATTCTCGATGGTGTCAATGTCCCCGTGGGCAATATGCAGCAGGGCCTTTCAGCCACACATACGACTTCCGCGCGAATCATTTAGTTCAAAACATGCAAACAAGTAGGAACTTGGTGAACTGCAATAGTTATATGTAGTACGCTTGGATGTATGCGTTGTGCGGCGATTCATTTTGATTCTTTGGATGCTTTGCGAGCGCGGTGGGACTCTGTGAAAGCCCGGGGGGAAGACGTCTCACGGTGCTTCAAGAGAGTGGCAGGCTGTGGGAGGAGTGCACCTTTTTAGAAGATTGAATGTGGTTGAAGATATGTATGCACTAGTTTTGTGGCTTAGCTATTTCAATCAGGCAGCTGTAGCCAAGTACACGCTATACATGGTAAAAGAACCCCCCCGCGCGGCACGGCCGATCATCACGGGTGACACTGAAGAGTCAACATTTCAGGTAGATATGTCAATGTACACTACACGACCTACGAACCTATGCGTGGCAAGGAGAATTCAAGGACACAGAACGCATGGCCGCATGGCCCCTGCAGGCATAACAAGCGATTCTTTTCACACTCAAAGGCGAAACGCTCAAAAGGCAACCGCGTGGAAATCCATCCAGCACTCCGGGAGCACGCGTGACTCCAAACACGGCGCTCAGGCCATGAATTGAAACGCAACGCGCAATGCTCAAGGCAAGCCAACCAACAAAACTGGCAAACGGCAAACGTTCCAGTTCGCACTTTAAGAGAATCCAAAATAGCGAGTGATTCTGGCCAACTTAACAATCCCGTTAGCGAAGCAAACGCAGAGCCCTTTAGAACGCTGACAGAAAGCTGAACTGAACCAGAACTCCTGCTAGCAAGATCTATATTTTTCACGAATCCCGGTGCCAGTGCCAGCCACGGAATTCACCCGCTCAAACGCTTGTCCTTCTCCTTGCCCTTGCATTGCCCTTGAAGGGCACGCTCTGCCGCCCATGGAGGTCGCTTGCAACAAGCCTTGCGACTGCCCTGGCGGGTCCTGCGCGCGAAGCAAGAACCCTTTTTCCAAGCCACTGGGCCACTCCAAGCCTTCTGGCAGCCTTTACAGGCGGCTTTGGCCACTTCGGAAGCTGCCTCTGTCTCAAGGAACCGTGCCGGTTCATGCATGGAAAGGCAGAGCGAACAAGTCTTGCTTGTGAGCACTCGTGACGAACTGCGAGCAGAAGGGCAGAGGGTGGTGGTCGGAGCTGCAAGCGTGCTCAAAGAAAACACAGCCATGAAAGATGAAGCACACAATTTCTTCAAGGCTACCCAAAGAGGTCAGGAGGCATATGAAGCTTTATCATCCGAACTCAAACCAATGAAACAGAACTTTGAGAGCGCAGATGTTAGGCGCTTGTCCTCGGAGTGACCAGACTTAGGACTTCCAAACGAGTGACAGAAGTACGTATGTAAATTGATCATTTCATGGTTTTGGTGTGGCTTTGTTATGTCTTCTTGTTAGGTCTGTAAGCTGGCTTCTCGAGTCGGTGGTTTTCTACTTACGATTATATATTATGTTATCTTTCTGATATGATTTGTTGTCGTGGCTTTCATATGCTGTCGGTGGGCTTTCCACGTGGCATTCTTGGGCTGGTGTGTTTGCTTTTGCTGTTCTAGGCTTGGAAAAAGGTTCCTTGTGGTGGGGGGAAGGGCCTGTGGCTGGACCATAAGATACCATAAGAAAGCCACAAGAAAATATTAAGAAAAGTGTTTTGGTATGTCTTTCCTTTTCTGAAGGATGGAGGCAGGTTCCAAAGTGGCCAAGGCCCTGGAAAGGCTACCGCGACCCAAAGGCTTGGAACAAAGGTTCGCTTGCGGGCGGTTGGGCCACATGCCGTCCCAGTCCGGCAATGTCGATACTGACCGGGGTCCTCGAAGCAGCCGTGGGCGCGGTGCGAGGGACGAGCAAGCGATGGAGAACAAAGCAGAGTCCTACGGCTGACCCTGATAACCTATTTCAAACAGGCACAACAGCCAAAAAAATGCACCTTTTTCTTGAGCCAGGCGAAGCCATATATGATCGTATACGCGCTAATGTACATGCTACACAAGGTAAAAGCACCATACTAGCAAAACACGGCTCAGGACAAGTTACAAACCTTTTGAACGCAGTGGGAGAGTTGCAGTCGAACAGGCCTGTGGCACTCTGGAGCTGGAAGATCTGTAAGCATCCCTCAAGCTCTCATCCTTTTGGGTGCGCTCAGTATATTCAGCATGCTCTGCCATGTTGCGACAGGAGCTCTGCAAGGCCTCGGATGCAGAGAAATGGGCTCCATATCACCAGGAATCTTGGCATACACATCTCTCAGTTATTCTTGGAGCACGCTTGCAAGTCGTGCAGCATCAAGGTGATTTGTTTCGAGGCTTTCTGAATGCGTTGCTTTTGCAAAGATGCAAAGGCAAAGAGATTGAGCAAACCTTGGTTGCGACAAAGAGGATCTTGGCGGTCTACGCTTCTCTGATACCAACACTGTAAAGCTATGGTGTCTTAGCAAATGCTTCGTTGGTTTTGCTTTCCAAAGGGCCAGATACTATCTCCAAGGAATCCTGCCAGCGGCTTAAGCAGCGCAGAAGCAGTTGTGGCGCATGCGCCTGCGCCGATCAAGCTTCCGTCCCTCAAAGGGAATTGAACATAAACATGATGATGAAAGCATGGAGCCATGAAAGCTCCATCTGAGCTTGTCCAGCTCAACTCAAACGAGAGTATACAAAGCTGTCAACCAGGGCCTTGGAAAGGTGACTGGCCACTGCGCTTGGCCTCGAGGAAAGGGGACAATGTGAATCGACAGTGACGTGCGCCGATGCGATGGAACTGAAAGTTGTCAAGAATTGTCAAGAGGGCTTTGCCGGGCTTTAAGCAACTTACCAGCCAGGCTGTCCTGGACGGATTCTTGCCTTGTACGACCCATTTGCTCCAGGAAATGCACAGCAGGAGCAGCTAGAAGCGCATCCTCTCTATGGGTAGAGAAAGAGTTTGCGCTAAAGGGTGATTGAAGCCTCTGCAGGCCAGCTATACCGTGAATGTGACTGCTCTCATTTGACTTGCAAAGCGTTGAAAGCACACTCCAGATCAGCCTAAATTCAGGTTGTGATCACTCCTCTGTTCCACGTAGAATGCCTGCAAAGCGGGCCCAGCAAAGCGTCATCAGCACCACTAACCACAGCTTGCATTCAACAACTTGAATTGAACTTAAGCACACTCCCGGAAGAATTGTTGGAAGAACACTGGGCTAGTTACCAATCAGCTATCGTGCAGTTGAGCTTCCAAGAATGACAGGCACCGCATCATTAGTCTCCTTGGCTCTGAATCCATCAAGAAGGAAACAAATATATAACTAGACTATATATATATATATATATTCAGTTTCTTTAAAATATATTCTAAATGCTTATATAAATATAACCAGCAAACCGACAAAGGTCGGCTGTGTCTCAAATCGGAACGAAACATGTGTTTGTAAAAGTGCGCTTTGGCAAGGGCCGGGAGTCATCGCCCGCAGCTCAGCCCACACGCAAAGCGAGGATCCACTGTGAACAGCTCAGAGCCCATCAAAGTTGCAAGAATTGCAGCCGTTGGTTGTTTGAAAGAGACAACAATCAAGTCCATGTCTGTGATGGTGTTCTTGCATGGACTGGAACAACGGGATGGCCAACAACACAAAATGAACACCCCACTGACCAACATCATACTCCAAATCCCAGTTGAGGGACCAATTCTTGCATCCGTGATTCCAAAATCATAGCGCCCTCAGGATGTAAAGCAACGCACCATAGAACTTTCACCTCAAACGCAGCAGTTCCAAGTCACCAAAGCGGCGACCGACATGAAACAGGAATGCGCGATACCGACACCCGTCAAGATGGTCTGCGCTCGTTTGGTAGAGATGCATGGCCTCAGTTTCTTGGATGGTGTGAACATACCATTGCAATACCTTGTGCACTCCGGATCTGAAACTTCTATGCCAGTGTTTGCCCCCGCTGATCAAGGTTCAGTGCCACCACGTAAACAATCTCTCGAGACACACATTTGACGCCTGCGAACAATGAATGATCCAAACCCTCGAAAAAATGATAGAACACCAAATCACTCTGACCTGCGGAGCGACCAGTCTCTGCCCGTTATTTCGATTTTGGAACCATATGTTAGACGGCGTCGAATATCGACCAATCATGTCAAAGCAGAATCAGTCTACCAAGCTGCACAAGGCGTTGCGACACTGCTTCACACGAGAAACCTCGTTCTACCTGCCGACCTACAGGGACTCAGTTTTTGACCTTACATAAGCCTTACATATCCAGAACAGAACGTGAACGACTTCGAGCGTCTGTCCGTCGCAAACTGATTGGGCGATGTTGCGTTGCCCCTAAGGGTTCTGAATTGGTACGGTATTGTCCTTGAAGGACACTTCGTGGGTCATGGTGCAATGGCCACGAGGAAGTTAACCGCGCAATGTCTGAGTTTATGCTTCTGGTTTGAGTTTGAGCCCAGTTGATACTTTCGTCCGTGGGATTTCATGGGCTACCTAAACGTAAACAACCTGGGTGGTATTGTGCAACTTTTACCCTCTGACCGCTGGCAGGATACTCGGCTCCCCTTGCTATTCCGCAGTTTCGCAGGATCAACGCCCAACTCTGCGTTTCCGCTAAACTCTAGCCTTTTCGCTCTATAGGCTTGAGCGGGCTGTTGCTACCCAACGCCCGCCTTTACAAGGAGCAAACTGTAGTCTAAGAATCTCTTAGCGTGACTTTCGGGCGACGCAGGATCCGATTTAAGATTCCTCCGTTCTAGCTCTTGCACGCATACTTGTACACAGAGAACGTAGCAATCATTGATATATAAAGAGACTGAGCAACCTATCTAACACATAGACTAGCAGTGAAACGCTCTTCTCACTGTCGCGTCCGAAGAGGCTTTCAGTTTCAACACTCTATAAGGCAAACAACAAACAGCTAATCATTTACGGTAGCTGGCATGACAAGTCAATCACAACATGCCAAAACCAAATCGGTTGATGTAGTCCAACCTCCCTTTTTCATCCATTCTAGGTGTTTGTTTCCGTTCCCAAGCGGCAAATCTATCTGACTCACTCCTTTTTCCTTCTTCTTCCACTGCAATCTTGGCCTCGCGCCTTTCTCACTTTCCTCCTCCTGTGTATGGCCTTCTCTTCCTTGGCAACGGCGGCCTTGTTACAGGCACATCGGATGAGCTGGCGCCCTCCTTCTTTTTCATAATAGAGTTCAAATCATAGCTTCTCGAACGGCAGACGTCTTCTTCTTCTTCTTCTGCTTCAATAATGTCCTTTCCGTCATTCGCGTACTTTGGCGGCGGCTGAGCCAGCCTTTGCCCGACGGTCATGAACTATGCTCATATTGCTGCATTCTGCGCAAATTGATCTGGTATTGCGGCGCTGCCGCGTGATTCTCTGCAAGCAAAACATCGATCTTCTCATATACTTTTGGATTTATGGGATGTGAGGCTCAACCGCCGCCAGCCACATTAACAGTGGGAATGAAGCCTTGAATACAGCGTTGGAGGTGGCAATTACGGCATCACTCTAAGTGTTCCTTGAAATGGACCTTCTGTATTCAGATCTATTGTCATGGCATTTGCACTCGGTTGCTTGCCGGGTGAAGTTGTTCCGTCACCGCTTGACTGAGCATTTATGGCTTGTTGCAACTTTAGCAGCTGCTGCTTGATTTCCCGGTTTGAGTGTCGAAGTTCCTGTGTATAGCCTTGGCTTGGGCATCCATATTAACAGAGCTCTGCTGCCTTACTGTTTCGAGCTGTTTCACGAGATTGGCAATCGCCCCCTTGGACTCATCCACATTTGTCGCGTTGGAGCTCAAATTTGGTGACCCTTCATTAGCTGTTAGCTGTTCAACATAAGCTGCTCCACTTTCGCGTTCGGCCACTTCTTGTGAGATTGCTGGTTCACGTTCATCTTGCACCTGATGCAGTCTTGTCTGGAAGTCTGGAAGTATGCCATGCCCTTTGACCCCTCAGCGTGTCTTTGAGACGTCGTATGGTGGAATTGTCCTCAGTCTCGACATGTGCTTCGGCTTCATGCCAGACTCCGAGTGCAGCATTTTGAGCACTCTGCTGCGCAGCGGAAATTGGCGCAGCATGAGCCGAAGCTCACTGCTTGGTTGGCTGAGTACAGCATCTATACATGCCCCATGGGTGTGAGAGGGATTTCAACACTATCCGTAGCACCTTCTGGATCCAACAAAAAGCCAAACACAAACAAAGGCAAAGGGTTGAATTGGGTTGAAGGCAAGCCGGATCGGTCCGCTTGTATTGTCCTCGAACATGTTGGTTGGTTGACGGAGCAGCACTTCCCCCCAAGGCAGTGCCAATGAGGCTGTTCCAATACAAGCAAGCTAGGCAGCTAAGCTAGGTCTAAAACACTGAGCAGGAACGAAGAACATCATGAGAAACTGAAGCAAAACCAAGGTACGGCGATCTGAGGAAGGCGATCTGATTCGATGGCCAAATCTAGCCTGACTCAGTGACATTTTTCAAACAAGAAAAGTGCATTGAGCAACTACGAATGAAACACAATACATGTTGGTTCGTGCCTGGACCATGGTTATCTATCTTACACGATGCAATTTGATGTCATCACGCTGATTTCATGATATCCATGCAATGTGCATGCCATGTGCATACAATATGCATATGATACTCCTGATGAATGTTGTAGCTTGAAACAGCTACAGCCTACTACAGCAGGTGCCTTAATCTGTTTACAGTAGCCTGGGTATGTGGAGACGTCAGGGCTCGGGGATGGTACGAGCCAAAATGCAAATGCCAACCGCTTTTTGTGTTATATATTTACTGTAGATGCCTCAATCAATCAGCCGATCTTGCACCTTAATTGAGGCCAGTTGCATCGAGATGACCAAGTTTGGAAGAGTGGAGATGTTGGAAACGCCTGTAGGGAAGCAAGCAACCCTGCGACTTTCACGTTGGAACAATGCAGCATTAGGTTGACCACGGACCACCTTTTTGGAGCATCATTCCAAAGGAGACCATTTGCAGGGTCTTTCTAGGCTCATCTGTGTAAGCACAGCACTGAAGGGACACTTCTCTGGCCCTGCGAGGAGACTGCGCTCAACGATCTGATGTGCTGCCCAAAGCCTCAAGAACAGGCTGAAAAGTCGAGCTGGCGGCTAGGTCTCTCTTAAGTGGAACGGACAAGCTCCTGTACCTCAGGGAACTTGACCTTACCAATATGTATTATATAACCCTACCAGGACATGTTTTAAGGCGGCGGTACACGCCCTCTCGCACGCCTTCACAGCTGCCAAAGCTTGCTCGCTGCATCTAGAGATTTCGGTGGCTTAAATCAAAAGGAAAATACGTTGGCACCTCTGTGGCATGGACAACTGCAGGTCGCTGGCCGCATGTACGAGATTGGTCAAAGTGTCCTCCTGAATTTCCTGGGGTGCTGGAAATACCTGTAAACAACCTGTTTAGACAACCGATAAAAAGTAAAGTAACAACATAGATATGATTCTGATTGATTCCTCTGCCCTAATCCCACGTATCATTACAATCTGGCGTTCTTGTGGCCAGGCTATTCTCATTTATTCTCAGAATGAAAGCGATCCAAACGGTGTCACCAGTACTGCATGTGTGCAATCAACAGTGCAGCTCAATCTTCAAAACCATTCAAAACCCATACATACCAATACTTCATAGCAAGTCCTCTTCGAAATGGGTTGCTTGAAACTGGGTGCAGGCCATGGCAAATTGCCCTGCCACATATTGGTATCAATCTTTTTTTGCTGCTGTTTGATGTTCAACCAGCATTTCCAGACTTGCCCCGTCACGATGCTATCACCAGCGACGGTTGGAATCACTGTTTCTATTACAATAGTCACCCCATTCAATATCTGCCAGTGATGGCGGGTAGTACCGAAGCAATGGAACATCTGCCATGGTGCTATTGCAACAGTATCAGCATCTAAAAGCTGCTACCAAGGAACTGGGGGACTATCAACCACTTCACCTTTGCGGCCAGTGATTAATGTCATGTTCAATGAAAGCTGGAAAGCCAAGACCGCACCGGAGCGGGCGGCCATGTGACTGAAATCATCAACTGCACGCCATGCAAGAAACACAAAATCAGTGAAAGAACACAAACCACATGGAGGCACTGTGTGATTTTACAACAAACCTACAAACCTGTATGAGAGGCCATGACAATGATCGAACACCCACAAAGAAACACATCGAACAGAATCACTAGACCCAAACATATCAAAACATACATTTTCCAGCCTCGCCAGTCTGTCTAAGAGAGTGGCTGATCCAATCATCTCTGTCCTCGTTCTAGCCAGGACGCAATCAATGACACTACTTTTTCCGTCTTTTGCTGTTTCCCATGTCAGCGCCACTGGAGTTGAAAGCGTTTTCACACACGCTGTTCACACACCCTAAATTACAGCATCAGAAACCTCTGGTCCAACAAAGCCCTCTGCGAAGCTTCCAGGCTTTTCACAATTGGTACTCACAGTGGAATACCCACGGTAGAAGGCAGCTAGACAAAGTAGTGCTGCTCTATAGAGAAGTGGATGTAAGTGCATGGCTCAAAGAGCCCTGCTTCGGCACGGCCACGAAGCCTAGCTGGCTCCTGATGTTTGGTTCGTCACGTCCAAACAAGTTTTCTGGGGACGCCTAACTCAATTGGTTCCGCGGCAAATCTGTGCAACACATTGGCATACTTTAATCAAAGAGCAACGAGCCAACTCTAGCCGACTGATGCTCATTTCTTTCACAACAAACGAGGAACTCCGACCTTTGCTTCGAGCTCGGCTGCACGAAGTGAAGTGGTCTTCCTGCAAGGAGTTTTTTCCTTATGGCATATCAAAATATCCATGACTTGTGATCAATTGGAATTTCGTTTTCAACCACCTGTCAAGCCCAGCAACATTGACCGCGTAATCTCCTGGCGTGACACGGGTCTGTCTGGGTACCGCACGCATACAAAAAAAGGCAAACCATTTGCAAAGTCCACAATCTTTGAGACAGTCGAAATCACCAAAGCACCACAAATCGTACGAGCCTTTGCGGTTCTCTTAAGGGAACAAATTGCAACTCAATGACTGCAGTTCGGTCCTGCCAGCAGTACAGCCTCTTCAGCTCCAGATGCATCAGGCACCTTGACATGCTATGCACGCAAACAAGTTTTTTGACCCGCTCGAATAGCGCAAAACTTTAGTCCTTCCCTTCTACAGTATACTGTGCACATATATCTGGTTCAATTAAAATGTTTCGTAGGTCGTTGGGTCGTAATTTACTTTTTCCAAATTGAATTAAGGGTTAGGTTGTGGAAATAAACATATTCTGTGAGGTCGTGGGGTGCGCCCCGCCCCACGGCGTGGCTGGAGCGCAGCGGCGGAGCTGAAGGCCTGCCGAGAGCAGAACTATCAGTTGGAACTCAGGATGTCTACCCTTTGTTCTCCAGGTCTGGTGAGGTTTGGGGCATTGTTCTAGAAATACCAAACAGTAGAGAGAGAGAGATTTCAGTGATCCAATAAAAAGAGATCGCTCAGTGTTTGGTATCTGGTTGCAGTCGAAACCTCTGGCCTCAAATGGACCTAAGCGGCAATAACTTTTCAGGGTCCAAAAGGTCTTTTTTGGGAGGGCCACCCTCAGAACATTCCAGTGATCCAACACAAAGAGACCGCGGTTGGTATCTGGTTTAGGCCACTGTGGTCTGGTCTCTCTCGCGCCCACCTACCCCAGATCCCCGGTTCAACCCCTCCCTGATGCTATCTTAGTTTAGTTCGGCTGTGTTTCTTTGCAATCGCAGGCCCGAGTTTCAAAACACTTTTCGTAGCCTGAAATTGCACTTTTTGCAATGCACTTGCCCAGTGCCATGCCAGTGCAACACACGAAGACCCCCCCAAGCAGGAAGCTCAGGAAGACCGAGAGCAACTCCCTGGCTGGACCCCAGTTAAATATCAAACAGCCGAACCCAAATCCCACCGCGCCTTCCAAGCAGAAGCGGCGCCGCCAGCAAGCCGCAGCAAAGAAGTTGGGAAGTGCAAAAGAGATGTTTGGTGTGGGGGAGGGGGAGAGAGAGAGAGAGAGAGAGATGAGATGGTACCTGAAGGGGCCATATAGCGACCTCACCCCAACGGTAGCCCCTTATTTCCGAATGTTAGGTGACGTTGGGTGAGGTCGCTATACTTCGACCAAACATATATACTCATATACAGTATTTAGAAAAATACAAGCCCAATGTGAGTTCCGGAGAAGGCTGGGGTATCTGATTTCGTAGTTGCAAGTCGAGAACCCTACAAAATCAAGAACTGATTGATGCATCACAAGCCAAACATCAAGAGCTCTAAAAATGGACTGTCAGGAGTCAGGAGCCACATGTTTTCCAGAGGATTTTGTAGTGAAAAGGATTTTCTAGTGTTTCGTGGCCTCTTTAGCGTCTTGAAAACAAGTTGTGATTCTGTAAAATTGTTGTCCACTATAATCGTGCTTCCAAACGTTTGCAGCACATGGAATGATCATGTCTGTCATGCACAACTTGAACGTTTGCCCCTTCAAAACATCTATGATCAGCCCCCGACCAAAAGACCTCCAGTAAACATTGAAACACTATTGTAAACACCTACTGCCGGAAGATGTTCTTCAGCCCACGCTTTGATTTTGTAGAAGAAACACTGATCGCTGATCGCCAAATATTTATTTTTGGTTTCCGTTGCTTTAGGATTGTCCTTACGAAATCTTACGAAATCGAAGCACACAAGTGCAGCAATGTAATATCTGTCTACACATTCAAAACCCAAGCAAGCGCTTCAACATTTCTGGCACTTTGCAAAATTGCCTGGGTTCTTCTACAGAATCACAACCCCACCTCAACAGGTGAACAATTTGGTGTTTTTTTAATGGTAGGTCAGAGACCTGGGATTAATTCTCTAAAAAAATTAGGAAGAAGAGTCTCTACAAAATGACCCCTGTTTTGACACCCAGGGGCTGCAAATTCTGTAGTGATAACTTTAAGGTGAATATATATATATATATTTATATCTCTAGATATTTCATGCCTTAAGACTGGCCTGAGTAGGACCTAGTCTGACTACTTTTTAATGGCCCACCTTCCAGATGATATTGACATGAGCTTGTGCCAAAAACTGTTTGTTCGCGGCTCATGCATTGACAATTTAGGACGTCCCCTATCGTCTATCATTTTTTCAGGGCTTTGGTCTTTCCACATCTTTGTGGCACTCCAAGGAGGAAATGACACTTGAAAAATTCGGGGTGGACGAAAACTGGGTAAGCTGGCAAGCAACGACGGGAGGTTAGCAGCAGCAGTCTAGCAGCAGAGGGAAAGCCACGCAGGTTTGCAATCCCCAAGTGTGCGTGTGGGAGTCTCGTTGTTTGGCTGAGAAAACATACCTTGTGAGGTGTCATTAGGGGATCGTCAAAATCCCCTACATATCGGAGCAAAAACGGCTCCGCACTCATTGCCGAGCTCTTCCCATGACGAAAGTCAAAGTGGATCCCAGCAGCTTTTTGCGGGTGGGGTTGGCTTGGATGACATTTGCATAAATATGTATTACTTTTCCAAGAACCCTTGCTTAATTGTTGGCTCAAATATCTGATTGTGTCTGTCTCATTCGATAGTGCTCACATTCTACTGCAGTTTCAGAATATCTGCGGAGCTCGTCGATTTGAGTTTGCACCTCTGGAGACTTAATTCTCCGCACCGTCACCTCCGTCCACCTGTTGACTCCTGCACGTAACAGCCGTATCTCAAGTGGTCACGTGGTGACAAGCACAAACAAATACAATCAGCATTGCAAGCAATGGAACCCGTTGAGCAACGGATTCCTACATGTTCTCTCAATCTCTGTTGTGCAGCCTCAATACCAGAATAGCCGTTCCTTCCCTTTCCATCAAATTTGAGCAACCTCTTTGTACAGTTTGGTATGTGTTCTTCACTTGTGATTAGGGATATTGGTCGGTTGTTTGAACATGCGCTTCTTAGATTTCACATATATAGTTTAACAACGTTCATATTGTCTCAGTCTTCAAGTGCCCCACCTTCACGAATCTCTGCGTCGACCTTGGCCACCTCACGCTGAGCTTCTCGAACAGGCCTCGGCTGCAGAGATTCGGTTGATTTTCTTATGAAGAATATGCCTTTGACTTTTTTTTCATTGAACCGGCATCAACACTTCCTTTTTGACAACATGATGACAGAACAGGCCGCCCCTACCAGTGAAGCAACAACTTCATAGCTTCACGTGCGTGAGATTGCGGCAGGATATCGCTCAAAAAGCTGACGAATGGTCCAGCTCCTCGGAAGATGGCTTATCTTTGCGCCATTGACATTGCAAGATTCCACTTCCTACTCTACTTCCTGTAGCTAACTCACTTTAATGCCAACTGAGCTGGGACTGTTTGAATTGGTTGTCCGAAATTGGGACGCCCATTATTTGGTGAAAGCAGCCTGAAGCCAACGAATATATGTGCGAGGAAGAGCCTTTCAGGAAAGCTTTGGCTACACTCAATGACACAATGCCTGTCAAGTTGTGTCACTCACTAATTATTCTTAATCGGCTTGATTTGTGGGTGAAGGATACCCCGATGTACTAAGGCAGAATGGCCAGCAATGTTGGTTGGTGACCAAATACTTGGACTATGATTCCAATTATCCGTCTCAAACAACTACAGTAGGCCTCCATATTATCTCGTGGTTGGTCAGTTTGTAAAAATATCTATCACTTGTAATGAATCACTATGGTAAATTGTATACAATACTACAATTATATATGGAGAGAACATGGATGTGCTGCCAGAACAGCTGCAAAAAGACTGAATACATCAGCCCCGAACGAGCTGATGAGCTTGGAAGTACAGGTAGAAGTCCAGCGACTAATGCAACCTCCAACAATCTCCAATATCTATTGCTCGCCCATGGTTCGGCATGCTTCACTACCATCCATTCTCGTCACCAATTTGGTAGGCTGCGACATGAGTGGCCACTTCTTTTGCAACTAGCAAATGCACTTTGCATTTATCGACAAAACCGGCATGGAAAAAAATAGTTATAAAATGATGAAGTACACCGCTAACAGACTTTGTCGTTGTGTGCAGTAGTTTGAAAAGAGTTGCTTTCACCATGATTCTTGCAACTGCTACCATATCTGTGCCGACATTGCACACAGGCAGCTGAGCTACCACTGCACGCCTCTCTGCGAGACGAAGGAGAACGCAGCCGCTGCGTCTGGCGGGTACTCAAACACTATTCCACTGCTTTGTGCACCCACTCAGGTGGCGATTCTGACTTGCCAAACACCTTCTACAATAAACTAGTGGAGAAAGGGCGCCTTTTGAAAGCGTCTGGCTGCAAAGCCTGAGCGAAAAAGAAAGAGTTCACGGACTGGGCACCAACTTAGAAGAAGAATGCGTTGACAGTCTTTTGTTCGACCTGCTCCTTGTCAATCATTATCATCATCATCATCACCATCATCATCATCATCATCAGTGGACATGACAGGGTATTGCTCTTGCTCTTCAACTCTCACTCCATCTCACTCCCGGGTGTGCTGGAAAGGCATGATTTGTTTTGGCAAAGGTTCCCAGAAGCATTGTGCAAGGGCAGTCGGCTGAACAGCCAGGAGGCAGGTGCCCAAGTCACATTACTTATTACAAACTCAATACTTCAGGTGGAGCAAAAACCATGCTTCTTAGTTTCTTTACCTTGCCCTATCGGAGTTTTTTCTAGATTCTAGCATCACATGGTGGGGCACGTGAAGCACGTTCAGATGTCTTCGCTTTCAAAAATAAAATACATTAAAGGATTGGACAATTGACAATCACACACCCACATACATTGTCTCATGTCTGTGCATCATCAAAGAATTGTGGAAGCATAGCTGCTGTCCACGCGGTGTGCACGTTTTGGGCGCCCAAAGCTGATGTCGTCGTGACAAACCTGGGGATTGCTTGTCTTTCTGATTCTAGTTGCTTCCTTGCTGTGGTCACGCGACCAGTTCTGGACTTCTCAGCTGTCTCCCAGTGAAATTACTGTCGCAGTTTGTCAGACGACATTGGGTTTGATCGATACAGGGTGCAGGTGCAAGGTGGACTCTTAATCGAGGAAGGGCAAGATAGGCAAGCAGAATTCAGAAATAGGAAAGAGAGGGGGAGAAACAAAGAACACCTGAGAAAAGGATGTAAACCCAAAGAGATCAAACATGATCAAACCATACGTGGTGCGAGAAATAGAGTCGCATTGAATTGAAAGGTCCAGCTCTGAAGATATGAGATAGACAAATATATAGACGACATATTGTTGGTACATAGCTCACATAGCCGACATAGTTTAACCTACAGTCTCATCGCGGCTGCGTTGTTACGAAAATCCCAAACTAATTGCTTCAAACAGGGCCCAAGGTACCTAGAACAAACAAGCTAAACACCATCCAACTATGGCAACATACTAAGGCGATTCACCTCAGGTAAACACAGGCTGGCAGGTGTCCAGGTGCTTCCCCAAGGTAATCCAGATAGTTTGCGAACACATGTTGGAGCGACTAAGTCATTTCGTGAATATGTCGCTTGTCTTGGTGCCGCTCAGGGAAGAAACAGGTGAAGCGCATGGAGGGCAGCTTTGTAAAAGGGGAAACATAGCATGGATTAACGCATGGACAAAGCTTCAAACATTGAAGCAGGTTTGACAAATGGCGCTTTGAAAACTGTGGCTATAGGCGCAAACTGATGCTCGTCGCTTGTAGCTTTGGCGTCCCAAACTATGACCGATCGGTAAAGGCACTGCAAGGAAATGCAATCCTGCTCATTTTGTGAGGCCCAACCTGGTACTTTGTAGATCTTTTTTGCCAGATAGCGAAGCTATGGGGTTCTTACTTCAAACAACAATGAGTCGCCCACGCGCGCTTTCGAGACAGGTTGCTGGTGCTGGTGCTGGGTGCCGGTGCTGTGAGCTGGCTGTGCACGTGGTGGAGACAGGTTGCTGGTGCTGGTGCTGGGTGCCGGGTTGCTGGTGCTGGTGCTGGTGCTGGGTGCTGGGTGCCGGTGCCGGTGCTGGTGCTGTGAGCTGGCTGTGCACGCGGTGGAGACAGGTTGCTGGTGCCGGTGCTGGTGGTGGGTGCCGGGTGCCGGTGCTGTGAGCTGGCTGTGCGTGTGGTGGAGACAGGTTGCTGGTGCCGGTGCTGGTGCTGGGTGCTGGCTGGTACTGTGAGCTGGCGGTATACTCAGCACCCAGCACCAGCACCCAGCACCCGGCACCCTGTCTCCACCACGTGCACAGCCGGCACCCAGCACCGGCAGCACTGGCATGCACCGGCGCCCGCTGTCTCCACCACGCGCGCTGCCAGCACTCACCGCCGGCACCCTGTCTCCACCACCCGCGCAGCCAGCTCACAGCACCAGCACCAGCGCCGGCGCCCGGCACCCAGCACCAGCAACCTGTCTCCACGTGCACAGCCAGCTCACAGCACCAGCACCGACACCCGGTGCTGGTGCGGGGTGCCGTGAGCGGCGTGCCGGTGCTCGGTGCTGGCGCCCGCTTCTGACAGTGAAGTGAAAAACAACCGCCGCTTCTGACAGTGAAGGGTGACAAACTGCCGCTTGTAGCAGTGAAGGGCGACCAACAGCCGAAGTGCCAGCAGTCATGGGCCGCATGAACTTATGCACGCAACATCATACGGTGTGTCGCTTGCGCGTTCTACGTCTATTAGCGCTGTGGGGTAATTACACTCTTCAGGTTCTGTTTTGACCGACAGCTGTGTCAAGCGCTGTACTGCTTGCGCGCATACTTTTGCACGTATAATGTTCTATATATGCGCAACGCCAGGCTCTCAACCGACCATGGTTTCAGCGTGCCTCAGCATGCTGCACACACAATAGTCGTGCTGGATACTGCTCGGCCTTGGGCGAGTCAAGCCTACGGGCTTTGCCGTTTGTGCGTATACTTTTGTGCGCGTAAACTCATACGCGCAAGATCATACGGCCTTATCGTTCTACAGATTGTTGCTTCAAGCATGCTACAAAGTCAATATAGTGGCGCTGGATACTGCTTGGCCTTGGGCCAATGACACTTACGGGCTTTGCTGTTTGCGCGCATACTTTTTGCGCGCATAACATTATACACGCTCCCCTAATAGCTATGGGGTTCTTACATGTCCTTACTGCAAATAAGAATGAGCTGTGTGCGCTTTCGAAAGGGCGTCGGCGGTGGTGCTGGGGTTGTGGTCTGGGCGCTGGTGCTGTGAGCTGGCTGAGCGCGCGTTTAAGACGGGCGGCGACGCTGGTCGGGCGCTGGTGTCAGCTGGTTGTGCGCGCTGTGGAGGCGCCGTAAGCTGGCTGTGCAGGCTGCGTACATTCTTGTTCCAGCCGGTCGCATGTCAACAGGTCGTGGGATTCTGCCTAGCTATCTGGGTCTATGCTGGTGTAATTTACTGTATTGCAAATGTATGGGGATAATTCTTTTGCAAACACATTATTGTTACTAGCAAGGGGTAGCAATCTCCAAGACTGATTAATTAGCGTGGGCAACGGCAATTTTGCACTCACATTGAGAACATACATCTATACTGACGTCATTGTAGCTATGACGTGCACAAATCAGACCGCCTACACTAGGCCTCCGCCGAGTCAGCCACCGTTTGCTGCGTACATGCCTGATTTTAGGTCAGCCAAGATACGCATGCCCAGCAAGCTCACAAGTCCCAAACTTCCATAGCCTTAATTCAGATAAAGGGCTGATCGGAATGTAGGCAATGAACGGCGCGTGATTGTTGCGCTTATGTCTTCGTGAGGTATACCCAGTCCAAGCATTGATATTTGAGTCACGTATGACTCAACCATGCTCAACACTGCATCGAAGGGGTTGTATCACAAGCTCAAACCAGCGTGCCCAGGGCTCGAACGGAGCTGGTTGGTGTGTCTAGCCGGGACGATGGCAACAATGGACCAAATATTTAATTCCCTCATGTCCGCCAAGCATAACTTCCGATTGATCGGGAGGACGGAAGGACATAACCAGGGAACCTGTCCTTGGGTTGGGTGGGCGCAATATGCAAAGCTGGCAGTAAAAAATGACATAAACATACATAAGCACTCTCTCTCTCTATCTATCTATCTATCTATATATATATATATATGTATTTGTATATTTTTTAAACTTTGAGAATCAGTCGACAAAAACACTATACAGTACAATACAATACAATACACAAGTATTTCCATATCAACCCATTCATCGACATTCTTGTGGTTCTTCACTCAGCTATGACCATGATGGTGTTGATGCAGTGCACAACCGTTTTCTGAGCACCTGGCTATCATTCTGAACGACAAACAACTTCTCACCTGCCAAACGAATGTACTCGAATGTACACTGATGGTGTGCTTTGCTGCCAGCCCTTAATTCGCAGGAAGAGCCATGCCATGTACCTGGACAAATTGACAATCAATCCTTCGAACCAAGCCATCATTTGGAACGCATGCCTAGGGCCTAGCAGTTTACGATATGTTGCCGTCAAGTGGTATTGTACCCTCCCCCCCAAGGAACATCTTCCAAGACATCTTTGCTTTTGCAATCCATGCTGTAGGTGTTCCTACCCTTATTATACTTATTCGAGGCCCTTGGCCAAACTTGCGAACACCAACAAATGGATGTGCAAGTCAATGGTGAACACGATGAACTGTGATGTTTTTGACCCTCAATGCTGGTTTTCCGATTTGCATCTCTGTCTCTCTGTTGTGCGCTGGCTTCTATATAATATATAGTTATAAACAAATATATATATATATAGACACACATATTAAAGCTGATTCTACGACGCGGCAGAGTTGGATGCCATCTATGAGCCTGCTCTACAGCTTGGGTACCCTATGCTTCATTTGAAACTTGACCTGTACACAGGTCCAAGATCACTTCAAGCGGAAGGCAATCTGGGCATGCTATTTCTACCAGAAGGGCAAGCCCCAAGTGGCTGTCAAGACCTGGATTGATGACCTCTCCTAATTACTGGCGCTGATCCTGATTTAGTAGCCACCCAGGCCCGACAGCTTTTCGAGATCTTGACTCTGCACTTCAGGCAGCTGGCCTCACCATCAACAAGCTCGGCTTTTGACCGGGTCAAAAGAGGTCCGCAATTCGCAACGTCCCTCAGCTCCAACCCGGGGACCCTGCGCATCAGTCCTTAGGCGCTTAGGGGTTGACTCAACAGGGACGAGGAGACGAAGGGTCACCCAAGTGAAAAAGTCTTTCAGAATTCACAAGGGATCTTGCGCCGTTTGTTTGAAGCTCCGCCAGGTGCATTTTCATTTGCGCAGGGGGGGCTGTCCACCCAATGTCACCGTGCCAATGGACTTATGCCACAGCGGTACAAGATTTGGGCGTGGGTGAGAGATCAAAAACAATATTTAACGTAGCAATAAAAAACAATTTTACACGCATCAATAAAAACATAAATACAGACTCCAAAAAATAAGTTCCAAATAGCAGTAGCAGTAAGAGTAGCAACAGTACTATAGTAGCAGCAGTATCGTAGTGGTAGTCGTAGTGTTTCGTGGCAGGTGCAGTACTTTGTGGACCTTGCAATGCACATTTCGTGGCAGGTGCAGGACTTTGTGGCCCTTGGAATGCAGATTTTGTGGCAGGCGCAGGACTTTGTGGACCTTGAAGTGCAGATTTCGTGGCAGGTGCAGTACTTTGTGGCCCTTGGAGTGCAGATTTCGTGGCAGGCGCAGGACTTTGTGGACCTTGAAGTGCAGATTTCGTGGCAGGTGCAGGACTTTGTGGATGTGGAAGTGCAGAGTTGGTGGCCGGTGCAGGACTTTGTGGGCCTTGGAGTGCAGATTTCGTGGCAGGCGCAGGACTTTTCGATGTGGAAGTGTAGAGTTGGTGGCAGGTGCAGGACTTTGTGGCCTTGGAGTGCAGATTTGGTGGCAGGCACAAGACTTTGTGGACCTTGACGTGCAGATTTCGTGGCAGGTGTAGTACTTTGTGGATGTTGAACTGCAGATAGACAGATAGAAAGATAAATGGATCGATAGATACATACATACATACATAGATAGATAGGTAGATAGAGGAAGCATATTTGCTTGGTTAGAAAATTTTGCACCGGGGAGTTCACCTTAAAATATTGATTTCGTGGCAGGCACGGGTGTCGGGGATGAAGTGCAGATTTCGTGGCGCGGGGGGGGGTTCGGGTGGGGGCGCAGCGCCCCCCCC